AGTTAAATGACAACATAGAAAAATATGTTACATTCGGACTAAAAAAAGGGCAACTTTATTTATATATATATATATATATATATATATATATATATATATATATATATATGAAGAAAATATCTTAAAAAACAAAACAAAATCCTAAAATGCGATTATGTTGTTTTAATATGAATGAAATGTCGACGTCTGACGTTTCGGTTTAATAACTTCTTCAGGACAATATTCATTAAAAATACAATTAACATAATCAGTATAACACGACGAAAACAATGGACATAAAAACATGGAGGACTGCATGCTTATCCGAAGATACAGGAATCTACTAGTCTCCGCGTATTCCTACATGAACAAAAAAGATTTTCTAACGAACTGTATATATGAAAAATCTTTCCATCGGAATCAAATTTATAAAAAATTTTAAGAATACGTTTTGAAAGCGTCGCCCATTTGACGACAACGTGACCACGCTCAAACGGAAAGCTGATCATTTAAAATTTCCATTTATCTGTTTTGGATAAGACTTGTTTTTATGTCCATTGTTTTCGTCGTGTTATACTGATTATGTTAATTTATTTTTAATGAATATTGTCCTGAAGAAGGTTATTAAACCGAAACGTCAGACGTCGACATTTCATTCATATTAAAACAACATAATCAGATTTTAAGGATTTTTGTTTTGTTTTTCCAAATATTTTCTTCATTCTGCCGGATTTATATCCATTTATATTTGCTCATCAAATATATATATATAGATAGAATTAGAAAGTTATTATATAAAGAATTTAAAAGCATGGGCTTAAAAATTACAGTTAGTACTAAATTAAAAAAAGTAGACTTCCTAGATATAACTTTAGATCTAAATAAAAAATATATACACACCTTAAAAAAACCCAACACCAATCCTTTATATATACATCCTAAATCAAATCACCCCCATCTATAATTAAACATATACCGTTATCTATAAATTAAACGAATTAGTACAAATTCAGCTAATAACAAGATTTTTGATGAGCATATCAATGGCTATAATAAGGCTCTAAAAGATAGTGGCTTTAAAAAAAACCCAAAACTAGCGTATATAAAAAATGAAAATGGAAAACATAGAAAAAAAACAGATGTAGAAAAATTATTTGGTATACTCCCCCATATAACCAAATGGTAAAGAACAGATTAGGACATAAATTCCTCACATTAATAGTCAAGCATTTCCCTTGTGAAAATAAACTAAGTACTATTTTCAATAAAAACACACTAAAAAAATTAAGTTATAGCTGTACAAAGAACTTAGAAAAAATCATTAAGATAATGCTAATATCTTAAATAAACACTTATACAAAAAAACAAAAAAAATTTAGACAATAGAAAAATTAAGATAAAACTGATGATGTAAATAAACAAAAACTATGTAATTGTCGAAACCCTCAAAATTGCCCACTACAAAATAAATGTTGCACTGAATCATTAGTATACTAATGCAATATCTCTTCGATTGAAAATCCTGATAACATAAAAAATATATATAGGTTGCACTAGCCATGAATTCAAAAAAAGATTCAACCAACATCAAACTTCATTTAGAATAAATAAATATAAAAATCAAACATCTCTCTCAAAATATTTCTGGCATCTAAAATGAATCAAATAAAACACCTACAGTAAAATGGAAGTTAATAAGAAGAGCTAGAATTTGTAGATCATTAAACGACCCGTGTCCTCTATGTATACAAGAGAAACTATATATTACTAAGTTTATAAAAATAAAAAATTTACTGAATCAGAGAAATGAAATAGCTATTATATGCCGTCATTGTCAAAAAATTTTCCTTAAATAATATATAAAAAAAAAAAAAAAAAAAAAAAAAGTCTATTGGAATGGCAGGAAAAATGTTTTAAACTGTTATTTAAAATTTAAAATTCTTTGGTTAAAACGTATTAAAAACATAAACACCGTTTTAAAAAATTGTAGTTAAATAAAATGTATCCTAACCGAAACACCTCTATAATAAATGTACTACAAACACTTGAATGAATCCGATAAAACACCTCCTGAAAAAATGAAATTATAACTAAAGCTAGATGATGTAAGGTAATGTATGACCCATTGTTCTTTGTACATACATATGAAACTTTATTACTCAGGTTACATATATTTAAAATAAATAATTTAATTAATTAATACATAAAGTTTACTAAATCTGAGAAATGACTTAGATAGTTTTGTAGTCTGTGCCATTTATATTACTTAAATATTTAAATATAATAGTTTAAAAAAATTGTAATTTACATATACTTTGTTATGAAAAAATAATTATACTTACTATGAGTAATTATCCTTCTGTTATAAAGTAATATAGTCAATTAAAACTAACAATGAAAATATTTTAAAATTTTAATGTGGTAATTTTAAAATTGTAATTAAAATTGTAGTTAAATAAAATGAATTCTAACCTGTTCTTGGTACATACATATGAAACTTTTTACTTAGGTTACATATATTTAAAATAAATAAATAAATTAAGTAATAAATAAAGTTTACTAAATTTGAGAAATGACTTGGCTAATTTTGTAGTAAGTTCCATTAATATTACTAAAATAATATTTTAAAATATAAAAGTTTAAAAATTGTAATTTACATATACTTGGATGAAAAAAAAAAATAATTTTACTTACTATGAGTAATATTCCTTCTGTTATAAAAGTAATATAGTCTAATATAACTAACAATGAAAATATTTTAAAAAGTTTAAAGTTTGTAATTTTAAAATTGAAACTAAAATTAAAGTTAAATTGAATGAATTCTAACCTAAATTTCTTTTAAAATAATACTACACTAAAAGAATCCCAAAAAAAGCAAATATAGTAAAATAAAATTAATATGAAATGCCATAAGATGTATTTTTTTGAATGACCTATGTCCTTTGTACTTACATGAGAAACATTATATCACTAGGTTTATATATATATATAAAAAAAAAAAAAAAAAAAAATGTAACCTCATATACATACTTAAACTTAAAATGAAATACATAAAGTTTACTAATTCTGAGAAATGACTTAGATAGTTTTGTAGTCTGGGCCATTAATATTACTTAAATAATATCTAAATTAAAAGTTTAAAATTGTAATTTATATATACTTTGATATGAAAAATTTTTTTACTTACTATGAGTAATTATCCTTCTGTTATAAAAGTAATATAGTCTAAATTAAAACTAACAATGAAAATATTTTAAAATTTTAAAGTTATAATTTTTTTTTTTGAAATTAAAATTGTAGTAAAATAAAATGAATTCTAACATGTTATTTATACATACATATGAAACTTTATTAATTAGGTTACATATATTTGAAATAAATAAATTAATTAATTAATAAATAAATAAAGTTTACTAAATCTGAGAAATGACTTAGCTAGTTTTGTAGTAAGTGCCATTAATATTA